AAACAGAAATAATCCCTCTGACCTTTGGAAAACTCTCAATGAATTAACATCGCGCAACACACATTCTTCAGCACCATCATCTATCATATCGGACGGCGTTGAAACCAAGAACTCGCAATCTATATCATCTCTTTTCAATACCTTCTTCACCAGTATCGGAAGGACTTTGGCAAACACAATCAAGCAAAGATTGTCATCAAACATATTCTCCTGTATTCAACTACCACAATTTAATTCCACATTTGAATTCAAAGAGATTGATGTTGCGTCTGTTTTCAAACAACTATCAACTCTTAAAACTAATAAATCTACCGGCCTTGATGGTATCAGCGCCAGACTGCTGAAAGATGCTGCAGTAACTATCGCCCCAACCCTAACTGATATATTTAATCAATCACTAAAATCTTCTATCTTCCCCAAGATCTGGAAAGACGGGAAAGTAACACCAATATTTAAGTCTCGCGATCGCTCTAATATGTCAAACTACAGACCCATAACTGTTCTGCCAATCCTGAGCAAAATTTTGGAACGTTTCGTTCACACGCAGGTTTACAGCTATTTATCTGAAAATAAAATCCTCTCCGAATCTCAATTCGGCTTTAGACCAAAGTTATCTACGAGTACCGCATTGGCATTTTTCACCGATACTATTCTTGATAATGCTGACAACGGTCTCATCACAGCCTCTGTCTTTCTGGATTTTAGCAAGGCATTCGACACGGTTGATCATGCTATTCTGTTGTGCAAATTGAAATCATTTGGCCTGGATAATAACTCGTTAAATTGGTTTGAGTCATACCTTACCAATCGTCAACAGAAAACGTCAATTAACAATACGTTATCCAGCTCATTACCTGTGTCAGTTGGTGTTCCGCAAGGTAGCATATTGGGTCCCTTACTTTTCATTATTTACATAAATGACATGCCCAACATTGTGAAACACTGCAAAATAATACTCTACGCTGATGACACTCTTCTATATTATTCCTCCAATTCGGTCAGAGACATTGAGCTATGCGTTAATGAAGATCTTCATTCAATCTGTAAATGGCTTGATGAAAATCTGCTAACACTAAACTGTGCAAAATCCAAGTTCCTCCTTTTTGGCGGTAACCGTCGCCTAAAAACATTCACCAATATCTCCATATACGTTAACGACCAACAACTTGCCCGAGAACAAACTTTTAAATATCTACAATCCTGGACAAAAGGTTGTGGACAACCCACAGAATTTGGCCTCGAAAGGAGTTTTCCCTAAATAATTATCCCCCCGCTCCCCCATGCCAATGTTGAATGGGATTTTTCATCAAATACGAAGTGTGGTTAAGTCGGATAAGCAACATTGAAGAGGAGGAGTGGGGATATGCAAGTAAATTCAAGTTCCAGGTGTTTGTTATGATTTTTGCAAAAGTGGTTTAAGTGTCCACATGAGTTTTGGCCAGGATTGTCTGAAAATCACCATAGAAAATAATAGACAGTTCTTGTATCTAATATGACACAAAATGGCAAAAACTATGCTTTGTCAGTAAAATTGCGCTTGTTTGCATCTCAATAATCTATTCCTGACCATCTTTTGAAAAAAAATTGTCCGGTAAAGACACAGATTTTCCAGCCAAAAAACGCGCCCACGAGCCTAATTTTTAGCAATAATTATGTGACGAGAATGACAGAATATATATTCTACTAGTCTCAAGTTTGTTTATGCATTCTTAAAGTGCTTGAGAATCTAATTTCTACAACTAAATGACATTTTTCATACAAGTATTATAATTCGTTAACTGCAAGTGTTGCCGCTTACGATATATGCCAGTACGTTTGTATGTTTTAACTATATATTACAGCTTCGTTCTGACAGTGCAATTTCAAGGTGCATCTAAAACTTGCTGAATACAATGTTTGACAGAAACCTATATATACATGATTTAATTAAGGCAAGAACTAAACATCTGAATTATATTACGTTACAGGGCTTTGCTATAATTGTTAAGTTGATATGTTATACTTTCCGATCGAGGGACGTAATGAGTGTAACATAATATTCAAAGCTCGAAACACGGTCTACACTTTTTTTTGCAGTGATTTTAGAAGTATATAAGCGCGCAAACGATAAAAAATATAGATTAAAAGACTTCTCCAATTACATTTTGCACAAGTATGCAGCAAGACATATAAAATCAGCTATGCCTTAAAAATCGCCACGGTCTACACACAAAAATCGTATTTTCATGAATACTAATGAGCTATGATCTATTATATTCAAAGAGCTACTTTTAATATGTAGACCGTGGTAACTTTTTATTGCTCTACTGTGTAAATTATGAAAACATTTTAATAACAAGTATAATATGTAGGTAGTCTCCTAAACAAAAAATCGTTACATTTCAATGCAGTAATTGTGTATAATTCAAGTTCGAAGTTACTGTAGACCGTGCTATAGTTGGCGCACAGTATTCGAAAGTGTACGGCAATATTGCATTCTTTGACAAACTTCAATTGTAATATAATATTTACAAGTATATATAAGTGAATTGTATGTATTTAATGGCCGTATAGCTGTCTCGAGTTCGCGTACCAGTTTATGATAGACATTTATCTTTGGAAATGCTACAAATCTTCAATGTCAAATTATATTGCCTTTCAAATGGCGAAAAAGGTTAACATGATATATTTCATTTTGAGTACTGATGCTTTTTTATTTTGATATTGCAAGGTTCTAGATCTTGTCATTGGCGCGTAATATATTAGGGCTGTGTATAAAAATATAGGCTGTTCAAAACTACAGGAGTCGTTAAAATCACTAAAAATATGCAAAAGTACAATAATTTATTCCATGGAATAAGGTAATTGCTACATAGCTTGAGACGTTCTGGAATCATACTGAACCTCCGTACAGATATCACACTGAAAATTTTCTGCACCGTCAATTTCTCTCCTACTAAAGCCTAAATGCGCTCCTTGGCTATGTATCTGAACAGTAAAGTCGGTGTACGTTCCATGTATAAGATTGAGAAAAAGTTATGCTAGCACCTATTCAGTATAGTTGGTTTTACGCACGCTCCCACAAATTAGCTTATATTTACAACATCCGGAAGTGACGTAATTACTAATTGTGACGTCATCAGCTATCAAACTGTATAGCAAAAACTTAGAAAACATAGGTAAGTGTTGTAGTCTCGTCAGACATATGGAATGTTAACGAACAAGTGATAAAACAACGCTTCTCCATGCTCATCATTTTTCAGACAATCCTGGACAAAAGGTTGTGGACAACCCACAGAATTTGGCCTCGAAAGGAGTTTTCCCTAAATAATTATCCCCCCGCTCCCCCATGCCAATGTTGAATGGGATTTTTCATCAAATACGAAGTGTGGTTAAGTCGGATAAGCAACATTGAAGAGGGGGAGTGGGGATATGCAAGTAAATTCAAGTTCCAGGTGTTTGTTATGATTTTTGCAAAAGTGGTTTAAGTGTCCACATGAGTTTTGGCCAGGATTGTAGATGATTGTACAGAACGGCCACTCCTTGCAATCGAAGTGCGAAGTGCGGAAGTGGAAACATGTAATATGAGACTTTTCCATCCCCCCTTCGGCTATCAATTTTGTATGTGTGACGTCATCAGCCCCGACCAGGGTCTTTGCTTCCCAAGAGCAAAGAGCCTGGGAACGAGGTTGGTATTGGTATTAAATATACCAGTAACGAAACATTGTCAATACAGATTGCCTGGCAGATTCAAAGGCCGTTGAGGCCGACGTCCTCATGGATGAGATCAAATGAAAGTGACAGAAAAAATTAGAGCGTTTGCAGTGGTTTTTGCAAACGAGCACCGTGCGAATTTTGCCATTTGTCGTGCTTCTTTTATTAATTGCCAATTGCCAAATCAAAAGAACAAACGCGCGTGCTCCAGCCCGATTAGCGGTTCTGAAAGGCCTGCCGGATTCGCAGGCAAGCAGTGTGCGCAAAGCAGGCTGGTAATTTCCCATTGTTTAACTGCCCCGCATTCAAGTAATCACAAACCATCCGTGAGTCAACACAACATCCGTGAGTCAGAAAAGGTTCCCCATTCTTGTACTCGTGAGCGGCCAAAGGCCTGGCACGAGTAAAACGTGCCTCTTCACCCGGCGTCGTAAAGTAAAGCAGTAAGCTACATAAATAATCCCAATAAAACACGCTATTTTTATATATGACGAAAGTAAAGAAATAGAATGTGCGCTTGATCATGTCACCGCGGGGTCCCAAAAATGCCCATACATGCCGCATGCATTAATTAATCTCATGGGAAGTGCTAAACAGAATACATACTACGGAAATTCGTACACTGAACTATTGCATATTTCCCACAAAAGCACCAACAGTAGAAGTTTCATATGTTTACTGTTGCTTGCCAACAATTATAAAACGTCCTTTAACGAATTTGCTTGCCTAGTACTTTTTACCAATGTTTGTTATTTTTCAGATTGGCGTTGTTATCAGTGACACGCATGTTCTGGTTATGCAGGAAACACCAGAAGTAAACTGGTTCTCCACCATAATGCTGATGGGTGGTGCTTTAGGTATTGCTACTAATGTCTATAGGTTTGTCCTGCAGCCCCTAGGACGATGCCTTGGTCGTTTAAGAAAGAAGTCCAACAACTTGGAAAGGGAAGAGATTTTAAATGATGCTTCCGAGATGAGAAGAAGGTTCGAAGACTTACAAAACCAAGTTTATATCTTCACGAACTTATCAGTTAGACAACAACTGGTTGAAACGAGCCAAAATTAACAAAGACGCTATTGCTATGTGTAACTATAGTTGTACCAATTGTATTTTTTTTAAAAATTTCCCATGTTTACATTGAGATTTGTTGTCTACATGTTCACATTGTGATTTATGACAAAAAATTACGTTTCCAAATTTTATCAACCTTCTAGTTCAATAACACTGTAAATTTCAACTCAAAAATTTTATTCTGTAACCAAAAACGGTCTAAAACGATTACAGATTAACACTTTTGGAGTTGATTAGACTCCTTGAAATTTACAGTGAAACAAGACGCGTACTACTAGTAAATCGGCACAAAGTTTGCAAGCAACAAATCAAATGGCATATTTTAGAAACAGATAAAAGTGAAAAGATACAAACGTTGACGACTGACCAGTTTGATATGAAAATATGTTTGTGAGCCGGAATACCCAACTTCAAAGTTTGAAGTATACATTTTATTTGTTTCTTGACTTGACTGTTGATAAAATGCTACAGCGTTTTTGTAATTTAAAAGCAAGCAGAGGTATAAAATAGAAGCAGTTAGCGGGCGCTTCGAACTATGTATCGTAAAATCCCACTCCTGGTATATGAAATTTAATGTTTTCTGTGGAAGCATGTAATTTGATACTTTGCCACTCCCCCTTGGACAATTAATTTTTGTAGAGTCACGTGAGCAGTCGATTACCAGGGTCTTTCCCAAAATGACCCTGGGTACGAGGATGCTCCAATTCACGGTACACATGAGTATGGATGCGATACGACGACGTATCACTTACTGAACCGAAATCATTTTTTTCAAAAGTAGTTATTTTTATCACTGTCTAGTATAATGTAAATTACAATCATATTATACTGTAGTACACAGTCGAACCCCGCTAACTCGAACTAAATCAAATTTCCACTGGATTTGACCCAATTTTTAACCCGGTTAGCTCAAACTCGCTTTAACTCGAACTCTCGCTAACGTAATAAAAGGTTCAAGAAGTTGCGTCGATCATTAATGATCTAGCTGACAGGTATACTGCTTAACTTGATGAATAATAAAACAACTGTACCGTATTAATTATTAACATGATAAAACAAATCCAACACCCACCCCGCAAACGCCCACTAACTCGAATAATTTTTCGCTTCCCTTGGGAAGGTTCTACTACATATGTATGTTACAGTATCAGTGTTAGTGTTAGCTAGACCAAAGAGTTTTTAAACACAATCCGCCATCCACTTTCTGGAGGAGGCGGTGGAACATTTGAGCAGAAATCATAAATTAAATATATTCCTAGTTTTGGTCCACCGTCCACCTTCACTGCAGTTCCTTAATGAAAATAAGAAATATAAAACTATGTATACATAAATGATAATGGATATATGTATAATATTGCTCAGCTACGTTCACCTATACTTCAGTTTAGTTCTACTCAGTTGCCAGAAGCACATGATGCCTCGACCATTTCTTCTTTTGACCTCTCATCGTCGGGAATAGGCTGCTTACTTGGGCCTTGAAATGAGTAAAACAGTGAATTAGTGGATGGCACAGGAAACAGTATGACTTTATTTACTTGTTTAAGCGTGCTCTTTAAATTTACGAATTAGTGTTACGAATGCGGCGCTTGTTCGAGGGCGGCGCTCTTTATAAAATGATTTATTTGTAAGCGATAACAAGAAATATCAGCATCAAAATAGAACATAAAAAAACACTGAAGTGCAGGAGAGAAACGTTACGAGACTTTGTTAAAGATTGCGACCTCGCACCCAGGGTGTTTTCCATCCGCGGTTGGGCGTGTAATAGTTTTAACAATTTTGCAGTCATAATTATGATAATTCTGCGGCGCTTAATCGGTGGGAGGCGCTGAAATCCAGGGCAGGGCTTACGCGGGTAAGTATGCGGTAAAAGATAATGAACATTACTACGATCATTTGATCGTGATGAATGGCATAATCATTAGGATATGTGTTATGCAAACTCCACCGACATCATTACCTGGTTCCATTTTTGTGTCCAATTTTTTTTCTGGATGGTTTCTTTCGTTCTCTGCCAGTATTCTGTCGACATCTTCCTCAGTAAGGAGTTTTGAAGTGACTGGAGGAAGGTTTGCCGCAAATTCCGCGAATTCTGACATGTCTTTCTTTACCTCACCAATGCGGTTCTGGAAACAGGAAATGCATGATTGTGCATTAAGAAACGGTGTCGTCTATTTGAAACCTGGCCAAGTGCACTTGAATCGACTCCAAAAAACTAACCAAGAATTCGTCATGTCGTAGGGGTGTTGCATGCACCCGTTTTTAAAAATTACAGCTGACACATCAGCTTTATATTGCTGTAAAAACAGATTCTTCAAAATATCCAATTTGAATAGGTTGTCTCAGATGAACATATTTGACCAGTAATTTTTTGGGTTATTTTAACCAATTTTTCGGGTGTTTTATGAAATGATATTGGTGAAAAGAATGTATCTGAGACAACCAATCGACTTGGTTATTTTAACCAAACCGTTTTCACAGCACGGTTACGAACTACAAATTGCTTTGTATGTCAGACATAAAAAGTTTAAATAGATTTAAGATAATGATATTGCAAAATTTAATTAGGCCCAATAAAATCATAATACGGAACCGTAATAGTCTAGCACATCCGCGTTGGTACTGTGCACAGTTAAATTGTGGGTTTTTTTTTAAACTTTCCAAGTCATTCACGATATAGGTTCCTGTTGTGACGGCCTGTTGTTTTTTTTCAGTGGATCTACCTTTACTTCTGTTCAATATTCTTCGTTACGTATTAATTAAACATGGTTGAAACTATTTTTTGTTCACGTTTGCTATTTTTAATTTCGCGTGACATGAACTGACATTTAAACTAGGATTATCTTCGTGTATGTCGCGAAATTTTGAAAACGGGTTTTAAGTGAAACCCTGCAATTGCCATAATGCAGCTGTCTCCTCAGCTTCCAGTCAGCTGTCTGGGTTCTGTACCACGTGACCTGCTCAAATCGTGAGGAATCTTATGACACCATAACGGCCTCGATAAAAAATTTTAAGGACACGTTTGTGCCATATAAGGAAGTTGGGGACACGTTTGTGCCATATATGGAAGCATACTTTCCTCTCGCTTCGAACGATGCAATAATTGGATGATCCTATTATTAGTGAAAAATCTCTGACGTAATATTTCGTGTGAGCCGCGAAAGCTTGGGTTCTAATGTAAATAAATATGGCGGATTTACTGAGAAGCTGTACACTTTACTTTAACTGCTATTTAGATAGAATACTATTGTTGTCAAATTGCATTGGTCCTAAAGCCCGTGAGTACATTGTAAATCTCAACCTCGTACCCAGGGCTTTTTGCTTCCGGGGTTGGATTGCCAGCGATTGGTCAATGATTTTGAATGTAATTATTCAATGTATGTGGGAATAATTATGATTTTGGTAGTTCTTGAAGGACTAAAGTATTGAGTAAATAAGATTTTGAACATTTGGCTTGAGATACCGCCTGAATTAGGGAAGGACAATACATCAAAAAACAATTTGGTCCAAATTAAGTCTTTGTACATTTTGTATAGACGAGTATTTGCTTCGGTTCAACATACATTTGTCACATGCGTTGTTTACACATCGTTGATTTCAAGAAACGTACAGCGTTATAGTCAAATAAAGATTGTGATGCAAATGTATTTTGCTCATATTAAACACGATTTATATAAACCAAACGCTGAAGCGGTTTTGTTTAGTTATTCATTAAGAATTGAATCACAAGATAACCAGGCTCCGAATATGTTTAACTCATCAATATTACGGGCTATGTTTGCATATGTTGCTGAATGAGGTGTAAACAACGAAAACTGAATAAAGTCAACTTATTTTGTTGCTTTCTCTTTGATTATATACGCAGCATTGAGTTTGTTTACTCCTGTCAATAATTACAATGTATATAATTATTCTATATACGTACTTATACGCATAAATTATCATAATTGAACACCCCAAATACTGGAGATTTTGAGGTCATGTGACCGGCCGATGCCAGGGCCATTTTCGCTGACCGGAAGCAAAATGCCCTGGGTACGAGGTTGTGTAAATCTGTAATAAGTAATAACACCAGAAAGGGGTGGTCCTTAATAGAACAGCCAAAACAGAACTGATAGAGCTACCTGGTATGAAAAAAGCTTACTACAGTAGCTTACATTATAGTTAATACCTGAATGACAGTCTTATGTTCAATTACTAGATCACAAGCGGCACTGAGAAACAATTCATATTGTTGTCTTTCATGCTCCATCTCAACTTTTCTCTTCCTTAATCTAAAAAGGGAGTTAGATTTTCAGACTAACGATAACTAATACCCAATGGCAATGGGACCACGGTATATACGTTTTATATAACACCTCATTAAATTCTGGTCATTCAATTGGCTAATTAGGATCATGTGATATGGAATAAAAATGACAATTTTGCTGAGCGTGCAATGGAACGCATTTTCGTACCATTGCACGGTTTTGTTCTCATTAAATTACATCCGTCAAAACCTTAATCGTATATCCTTTAATAGCTGGTGTAACCCAAATGATGAAATTTAATTCTAGTTGAAAGCAAACCACTAAAATTAGTATTTTTACGACAATGATGAGTTAAATCAATGTCACATGTTATATCACATTAACTCTTCACTGAAACATTTCTTGGATTTGTATGCATTTGTTTTGTATTTAATTATACTTTGGTGATATATGAAACAAGTAAAACGTGGAACAGTAAAGTATTTTCATTCAGTGAATGATGGAATTCCATCTTTCCCCTCATGAAAATGTTTTTACCATTGCACTCATAAACATTTGTATAGAGATTTTACATGCAACCATGGTTCATTAAAATAACTATCCATGGCGCAACACAGGAAATTGGTTTATTCTCGGACATTCTTGCAAACCTTTCTTTGGCTTCCTCCAGTTGTTTTCGTTTTTCCGAGACTTCAGTTTGATTTTCTAGCCTCAACCTGTCTATCTTATTCTGCATTTCTTCAACCTCGCCAGACAGTTTACTCTGTTGTTCATCGTATTGCTAGAAACAAAATAGTCCGTAAAATCAGGACCTGGGTGTTTGAAAGCTGATAATCTGCGGATCCACTGTACTGTACATAGTATTCAGGAGCACGCTTTTCGCCAGAAGGACGCCTTCTGACTGCCAAAATTCTGGGGGGAATGAAAATTATTCTCAGTCATTTCCCTCAACGTATTAGTATTATTTCAGACGAAATACTGTAGCTTTAATTTTCAATGTTGTTACATACGTGGCATTTTGATCAATTTGATGGCGTGCCTGGTTGAATGAAAATGTCGGCGCAAACTCGGAAAGCCGCGAAAAATATCGAATGAGCTTTAGCGCAATACAGATGCCGGCATGAACTGCTGTAAACCTAGTCCAATTCGACGGTTTTCCAGAGACATGGTCTCGACCTTACCCTCCCCCTAGAGGTGTCATATCAACAAGCTGGGAACAAGCCTTACGACCTGTTGTTGAAACAGCATTGGTACAAATCCGATGTGAGTTTGTCTTAGAAGTTGCGCGTTTTTGTATGGTATTGTCGACGTGAACAAATGACAAACGCGAATTGTTTGTTTTTATTTTATTTCTCTTGTACCACTACCGCTCCCATTGGCTGTCAAATAAAATCGTTAACACACGACGTGTCTAGGTCACTGATGGTCTAGATTTATTCACAATACGAATAAATAACGAACCAATGAGAGTAGCTCTAATATGCATGGACTATGATTATTTAGTATAAAACTATGTATAAAATCAGTATTGAAAAATGGCTTTCAAGCATTCTGATTGGCTCCCTCAGCAGTAACTCTGAGGCAACAGTTACTGCTCAGAGCAACTATTGCTTTCAAAACAAAATGGCTGCCGAAAATCAACTTGCAAACAAATCGTGGAAGAAAAAATTTAAGAAATTAAAGGCACGTACAATTCCTATATGTATAAGGAGTTAGTATAATTACATAGGTGATTATTGAAAATTCTCCACGCTGATTGGTTGCGGTTAAGTTGATTATAAGGCGATAATCACCTAAGCGATTTTCGAAATGGCGGCCGAAGCCGTTTTGTCAATTAAATGACGAAGAAATGTGTATTTTTCATCCCCCCCCCCCCCCCCCCCAAATAATCACCTATGAAATTATACTAAAACAATTATTCACCTCATGCTCGGTGATTATCGTAAATAAAAACCTCGACTTCGTCTCGGTTTTTATTCACCGATAATCACCTCGCCTTCGGCGACAAAAGCACCTTTTAGATGCCTAAAATAATTTATTTGGCAATTTAAAACTGGAAAATAACAGAATCGGGCGACAAGGTTCCGACAACTGGATTCGTTTGACTCAAAAGTGGAAGAGTGAAGTAAATTATATTTACAACGTTTGTATATACAGTATTATTATTTTTCAATACTGAATTTATACTAAAACAGTTAGTCACCTCAGGCTTGGTGATCACAAGACTACATGTATATTCACTTCGCTTCTTCGAAGCTCAGTGAATATAGGCTTGTAATCACCTCGCCTTCAGCGACTAATTGTTATATGGACCATGGTTATATGGACCATGGTTATATGGACCATGGTTATATGGACCATGGTTATATGGACCATGGTTATATGGACCATGGTTATATGGACCATGGTTATATGGACCATGGTTATATGGACCATGGTTATATGGACTATGGTTATATGGACCATGGTTATATGGACCATGGTTATATGGACCATGGTTATACGAACCATGGTTATACGAACCATGGTTATATGGACCATGTTTATTGTACTGTACCATCGATTCTACACAACAATGGCTTTGTGTACGTACTTGTTTTTTCCATTGAATTTCTTTTTCCGACGCGGCAATCTTCGCTTCAAACAATTTAACCTCTTCTTCTTTTTCAGAAATCTGTTCTTGCATCTGTTAATGAGATGAATAGTTTTGCGCCTTTGCAAAATATCTCAATATCACATGGCTGGAAAAGTTACGAAGCTGTGGAGCGACGCTACCTCCGCAGTCAAAAGGTGCTACAGTAGCACTGGGGTTACAGGTCATCTCCGAAACCATGTGAAAGGAGTGAAGCTAGCTCAGCTATCATCTTCAACTCCAAAAATAATCTACAAATAAGGCTAAAATTGCTATTGAGACAAATTCACAAAGCTATCGGGGCAGGATCTGCCCCCAAGTGGGACATCAATTACAGTTTGATTTCCAGATTCATTCTCGTCCTCAGGCTACTAGTTTGGTGTGCTTGGTGGTCTCCACATGCCTACCTGACTTCCTTTCAAAGTTTGGCTACCTCTACAAATATAAAATCTACACGCATGTATATAATATCATGCACACTAAACATCCTAGATTAGACAACTTCACCTACAGTATAGTATCACAAGAATAAGAAGGTACAGCAGAAGTGTAACTTGAGTCAATTCCTTTATTGTTTTACGTCCACGAAAATTTTAACTCGCTCACGCCATCCTGGCTAGTACAACCGGAAGGTTTTATCAGGTTTTGGTAGGTACAAAGTGCCGGTTGTACTAGCCAGGATGGTGTGATTGATGACGAATCGCTTGTAAAAACGCGGACATATACTTGCTTGAGTGAGACTTCTGCTGTACCTTCTTATTCTGTGATAGTATGCACCATCCCTACCCGATGGAAAGTATTAGAAAACGAAGATTATTCATACCACGTCATGTTTTTCCTGAAGGTTGATCAGTTCGGACTCACATCGGCAACAACATTCAGTAATCTGCTGTTTGAAGCGCAGCAAGCTGGGCTAAAGAAAACATGAATCATTCCATCATCAACAACAACAACAATTTATTTTCCCTTGATCCAATGGTTTAAAGAGTGGTTACGGGACATTACAGCTAAATACATAATTATACATCTTAATTTCTGTGAATCTGAAATGGTCCACAAACAATTACTACTTTTCAAATTTAAAACAGACTAGAAATAATATTGCAACTTATTTCACTTGTACAATTTTTATTGGTTAAATGCCATGTTACGGACATTAGATAAAATGTTACGGACATCATCTGTTTTACCTGTAAAAAACTCTTGATATTGCATGAAACATAGTGTTGCAGAGACTACAGTAATATGTGTTGATATATCACCATAATCTTTCGAGACATGGTCTGGGATTTTATGTTGAGCCGTACCTTACACCGTGCACATCCTTTGTTTTAGGTTTATTAATATTTAAATAGCATGGTTGAATGACTGAACTGAAACATTGCTATTGGACGATTCGTTCATTATACTGAAATACAATGTGCTCATTGACCGTGCACAAAACTGCATAAACGCGAACAAAATGATAGAACAAAGACTTTAGCGGAGTTTCCAAACCATGTTTTGAAAGACTATGATATCACTGACAGGTCAGAAAACCAAACTATGGCTCCTTAATAATGAGCCACACAGAGAGTTTAATGACCGGATACAGGGTTTAATGTTTTGTTCACATGATATTGTCACATAAATTGTTATACATTGGTCACATTATTAGTTTAAAAAATTTGCGATGTTACTACACTTCTATAATTCTCATATAAAATATGGCATTGTATAGAAATAAATATTTTATCACAAAACTACAGTACTTCTTACTATCTTAGTGATTAAATGAGGGAAAATATATTCCTTTCATATCCATACCTTTAACTGATTTTTAATGTCTAAAGTCATTCTTCCAAGGTGGCACTTAAGTTCGTAGTCTACTCCAGCTGCATTCTCTGCCGTACTTGGGATCAACTTCAGTTTACATGCTCTTTCATTATAGTCCTGACATTGAGCAAGCACCTGGATATGGGGCAAAGATAAATATTTTTATATTGGATGATAAAACTTTTAATTGTTTGGTGAATATTCAAAGTTCAAACAGTAGAATTTTCATATAATTTCATAGAATTTTCATATAATTTCATAGAATTTTCATAAATCACTTTAAAAATTTTGAATAAAGAATTCTGGAGTTACATCTCCAAAACCATGTGGAGGGGTGGAGGTACAATCACGGACAAAAAGTTTGATGTTTTTCCACGGTGCATGATGAAGCCTTACTGCCCACTCCCCTCTGCAGTCTGCAACGCTACTATCCAAAGATTACTATGATTTGAGATTGCCGAATCTGCATGTTTGCCGTTCTGTTACGTTTTAAATGATCTTTTTGTTTACGAAATCTACATGTATATTGGCTTTTCATCACGTACCTGTATGCGTGATTGGACAGTTGTTGTAGCACAACACAGCACAGTAAAGTAAATTTTCTTGTTAAAGTAACTACTATATCAATACCTCTCACTGGCTTATTATGCATCTGATTGGTTGATCGCATATACTAAAACGCATCTGATTGGTTAATGGTCCCTTAATAGTAGCGGTAGCAGTAGTGGAAGTCAAATCTGAACCTCCCCAATGTGACACGAAGTTCCGCTCATCGCTATTCGAAAAGCAGAAAATGTATGATCAAGCAAATATTTTTAGGGTGGTGCTGGACGTCTCTAGGGGGAAAGGGCTAAACACCACTAGGTACGGTACGCACCCATCCACCCCCTCGGTAGATCCGCCCCTTCTAAAAATAATGCTAAGGGACCGGTCATTATTTATGGCAGGGGGTGGCACCGAAGAGAAAAGGGTTGGGTAAACAAAATTTTGAGTGAGTAAAAGGTTGGGTAAATGAAAAACAAAACAACTCAAGGGTTGGGTAATAATAATTTCCAAAGCATGACTCACTGAAATATTGGAGACTAAAAAGCAATGTCAACAGTCATATGTCAATACAATATGTGAATCAATCGGAGTCACTATCTTGATCACTGGTTTTCAATTTGTTGGGAGACAAATGGTGTCTCCAAAGAAAGTACATGTGCAGACAACATGAAACTTTAGTCTGCAAAAAAATTCACAATCCGTTATCAAACTCATGTCACAGAAGTGGCAAGGGACATGTGTGACAACTGAATGGTACCTTTTTGTAAAGTTTTTGGCCAGGGGTGAGTATTTATTTTTTAATTGATATTTGAGGTTGGGTAATCAAATTTTTTACTTTTTAATGGTTGGGTAAGCAAAAATTTTGCCATGAAAAACATTTCTCTTCGGTGCCACCCCCCACCATAAATAATGACCGGTCCCTAACTTGCTATCGGGTCAGGGTCTGCCTCGTACTCCATTTGTAGTTTGGTTTCAAGGTTCAATTCTAGTCCACATAGACCCCATATAAAATCTGCACACATCTCGAACTGTCAGTGCCAGTGTAGGAGTAGCGACGATAACAGACAGCTGTGGTGTGAGAGGTACAACACCTCAATAAATAAATACAAAACCCGAGAACGTCTGAGTTCTGTTTATATTTTTCATGTACATGTGGTTGTATCCATAGATATCTTATATACACTAGATAGCGCATCTCTTAAGTAAAATTGAAGCCAAGAATATTCCAGCGGTTACCCCCATTTGAATAGATGGCGGCCATGTTGGAGTTTCCCACTCGCTAATAAACGCTTAAAAAACAACAATAACTTTCATCATTTGAATAGTTTGAAAATGTATTTGGAATAGGTTTAACAGACCTTTCCCCTTATAACCAAAATTTTGATCTAGGCAAGTCTAGACAAATATTTCATCACAGCTTGAAAGAGCATCACAAAATTAGTAATATTCCAAAGTTTCGTTGCGAAATGTTGTAAAATAAGGAAAATAGAGCCTTGGAAATTGCAGCCCAACACCCGAATCGGATGTCAATTTCCCGTTTGTAATACAAAATGACTGAAAAACGGCAAACTTCGCAAGGCTATATTATCCGCATTTTACAAGATTTTCCAACAAAACTTTGGAATATTACTAATTTTGTGATGCTCTTTCAAGCTGCGGTGAAATTTTTGTCTAGATCGAAATTTTAGTTATAAGGGGAAAGGTCCACTTAATGTTTAAGTTCCCTGTTTAAGAAATAGAAAACATACGAGTCTTCTCACTTCATGGGAATATCCTGAGTCTGCAATCACGGCTTCAATTTTTGAATTGCAGAATAATTAGATGCGCTATCTAGTGTATATAAGATATCAATGGTTGTATCTCCCTCGCACAGCGCAGCAATCAACACGCATGCCTTTCACATCTGCGGTCCAGTTCTTGCAATTCAATTTGATTGTCCTTTCGCCTCAATCACATCTGAGAATATCAGAATAGCGCCTTCAGAGTCACTCTATATCAAACACCGCAGGTTTTTGCATATCTATACTTTCATAGTAGCAAAATTATTGTCATAGCCTTGTTACACAGTTACTCAACCTCCATTCAAAGGCCTTCAGAAAATAGTAGGGGGTTGCCCCCCCTCCCCATTAGAGTCCACCACTGTTATTTTGAATATGGTACCTGTTCATGTCGTCGAGCATAGCTCATTTCTTTCTCCCAAATTTCTTGATCCAAACTGTCGCTTGCTTCTTCAAGTTTGGATAAAGTCTTTTTGAGCTCCCCGCTCCTCTGTTTGATACGTTGAACATCAGCTGCACTTAACTCTTGATTGGCTAGTATTTCCTGAAAATTTAAATAATAATTACAATAACTTAATATATGTGTTGTGATGCTGTCTCTGAGTGTGATCACGCCGGGCAAGCTGAGAAGTTTGCTTGAACGCGTTGGGAAACGAAACCGCGACCTTTGGTTTGCTAGTCCAATGCTCTATACCAAATGAGCAACTGCATGTACGAGGTCAAGTCGGTTCGAGTGGGTGATACAGGACCGTTCCTAGCGCGATGGGGGGGCCCCCAATTATCGCGTCTAGGAACGGCCCTGGGGTGATATTTCGGAACTCAGTCCAGTTGCTTTGATATCAGTACGTTTTTACGATCTTCAATTTTTGTTTCTGGTTTTATGCATTCAAGTGAAGATATGTTTGTGATGTTGTCTCAGAGTGACCATACCGGGCAAGCTAAAAAGTTTGCTTGACCACGGTGGGAATCGAACCCGCGACCTTTAGTTCGCTAGTCCAAGGTTCTACCAACTGAGCTACAAGACCAAAGGTCGCAGGTTCTATTCCCACCACGGTCAAGCAAACGTTTCAGCTTGCCCGGTGTGGACACACTCAGGCACAATATGTAGTTAACATAACAATACAGAAGGAGTGGAGTTTCCCACTCGCTAATAAACGCTTAAAAAA